TCATCCTGCTGCTTCGTGTATCCTTTAAAAATTATTTTACTTTCAGTTTGATTTTATCTAAAAAATCCACCTGAGAAGAGCAAGTGAATCACACACAGCATGACTGTAGACTTACCCTGATTGCTCCACAGCTTGACTGATGACCTACTGTTACTGATAATGTGCATGATTGTCAGATTTGCCCTTAACTATGACACAGGCCTTAGACCTGTGGGTTCAACTTGCGACGCCGCCACCAAGAACGGAAGATGGAATTGTTGACCTTGAGCAGGTAACACACTCCTAACGACAAACAGATCATAAATCAGACTACTTAACTTGAGTTTATTAATGTTTCACATGAATCATATCTGCTTCCTCTCAGATGTCCAGTCCAGGGGTGCTGTCGGTGTTGACTCCTCTGGTGATCAGCCATCTGACTGGAGTAGCTCTGTACAGCCTGCCCATTCGCTTTCAGGAGATGGCTGTGGAACACTTCCCGGTGTCTGAGACCGAGGCCGTGGTCCTGACAGCTATTGCTGTTTACACAGCAGGCCTGGCTCTGCCTCACAATACACACAGGTAGCTACTTACACCTGATACACTCTGATTCAGAATTTTGACACAGATTTCTTCTTCTTAATCTACCTCTAATGTTGCATTTTATCGGTGCTAAAGACAGCATAACATGTTAAGTTATCCAGGGGCATAGTGTAATGTATAAAATGTATGCTTATGGCTTTTCTTAAAAGATTATACCATCAAAACTTCAACAGTTAATACTAATGCACAGTTATATTAACACTGAGGTTATGCACATTGATAAATCTGATAAAATAAATGCTTCTGTGAGCATGTGAGAACACATTAAAAGGAGACAACTGTCCCACACTGTGGGAGACAGTGAAGTACTCATGCACTCACTGGCATTTAAGTACAAATTTTGGCCCTGAGACTGTTGATATACACATATCAGCCAAAACAATAAAACCACTTACAGGTAGAGTGAATAACATTGATCACCTCTTTACAATACAATGTTCTGCTGGGAAACCTTTGGTCCTGGCATTCAAGTGGATGTCACAAGACACACACCATCCAATGCGGCATGGCAACAGCACTCCTTGAAGACACTTGTCCCTCCAGTTGGACAGTTCACCATGCCACACTGCAAAGACGGCTCAGGACAGGTCTGAGGAACGTGACAAAGAGCTTAAGGCGTCAACCTGGCCTCCAAACGCCCTAGTTCCCAATCTGATCGAGCATCCGTGGGACATGCCTATACCCCACCTTACAATCCACAGGACTCAAAGGATCCACCCCCAACACCCTGGTCTTAGACGCCACAGGGCATCCTAAGAGTATGTATGAGTCCTGTGGATTGCAAGGTGGGGTACCGGCACATCCCACAGATGCTCAATTGGATTGGGATCTGGGAAACGTGGAAGCCAGGTTGACGCCTTGAGCTCTTTGTGAGGTTCCTCGGGCCATTCCTGATGGCAGTGGCCCATGCTGTAAGGGTCACTGCCATCAGGGAGTGCTATTGCCTTAAGTGATGTACTTGGCCTGTAACAGTCGGTGGGTGGAGCATGTCACGTTGCAGCCACATGAATGCCAGGACCAAAGGTTTCCCTGCAGAACATTTGCATTGTAATGAGATTCATTTCATCTGTCTGCGGTTTTGGTGTTGTGGCTGATCGGTCTAATTTTGTTTTCATGTTTGATCAAGACTTTTTTACTTAAACTAAAAATCTTTGTACACATTTAACAACATTTTCTAAAGGTTTATAAAAGGTGCTGAATAACCACAGGCTCTAAGTTTATTCCTGAACATTACGTCACAAGCTCAAAATCTTACTGCCCCATACTTCAGCTGTAGCTCTGCTGTCAACCCGTTTAAAATAACATGGTTGAGACAATGAGAAACTTGTACAACTGTAAGAGACCTGTGATGCAGAGAATGTTTGTCCCTGAAGGTTCCTGTCAGGTGAGGGGACGGAGCAGGGCTGGAAAGTGCTGAAGCTGGTTGCTGTGCTGTACCTGGCGGTGTTGCTGGGTTGCACCGCCCTCATCAACTTCTCCCTGGGCTTCATCCTGGCTCTCACCCTGGTGCCTGTGGCTGCCTTTGTCACACCCCACGTACCAAAGTAATACACCTGCACAGACTCTTTGGTCATTGTGGCTCTGTACTGCCATGTGTCGGTCAAATAGAAGTGAAACCTTACTCTCCTCTTCTCCCCTTAGGATCCTATCAGCCTTCGTCATGGTCGTTCTCAGCCCAGCCTGCACGCTCCTCTTTTCTGTCTTTTTCTTCGAAGAGCTGCAGGAAATGCCCATCAGCTTCATGGAGGGTTGGTTGCTCTACCTGTCAGTCATCTCGCAAGGCATCCTGGACCACTTCCTGTACGGCTCTCTGGTTTACCCACTCATAGCTTTGCTGGTCTATCCTTGCTGGCTGCTTTTCTGGAACATCCTATTCTGGAAGTAAATGTCAAGTCATGCAGGACTAATGAAGGCCGCAATGGGGAGAAAAAAACCCGCTGAGGTGTTCTCAGGTTTGTGGGAAATGTGAATGACGGTTAAATCCACTGGAGAGATTGGAAAAAGATAAGTATCTATGGTTGACTTGGAAAGAATGCAGTAACTCCCTTTTCTGGACATTTTGTTGGTATTTCACTTTTAAAACAGTGGAGAAAAATCAAGCCTCCTTGATACACTAAGCAGAATGGACTATTTTATACTGAACATCTCACTTACAAATGAAGCGGAAGAAGGGACGACCTTTTCACAAGTAGCCATAAATGTCATGATTCGGTTGCTTTTGGTAAATATTTTGTTTCAAAGATTTCTTTGTGAATTTCTGTTTGCGGTACATAAAGAAAATGACTGCACTGTTTTTAGCTCTTTTTGTTGTCAGCCTGGATGGTAACAGGTGAAGAGACGACCGTACCAACATGGTTCGAACAAATAGAAAGGAAGACACTACCTGGTTGGTCGGTCGTCTGCCTCATCTGCATCTGTTGAGCAAGCTGTTATTGCATCTAATATTTTTATACTTGTTTGACAACTTTCTTTTTAAATATGTTTATTTCATATTTATAAATGCCAAATTAAAAGATTGAAAAAGTTCCCCATGTTTCAAGCACAATGCTGTTCTTAATCGACGATACAAATTTAGAAAACTTGAGAAAGTCTTCAATGTTTTGCCATCATTCTAAAGACATTTGCATGATTAGATTTGGTCGTGTAAGGATTAAAATAATGACATAAAAATGAGCGCCATTAAATTTGGGTGTAACAACACTCGAGAGACTATGAAAAAAAACTTAACCTGGATGTTGACATGAACGCTATTTACACATCAGAAACTTGTAATTACTACGACTCTGATATGACCATGTCCCAAGTTTGAAATGCAGAATTAACACTAAAATTCTGAAATCTCAAAAATGACCACAGTGACACCATTAAAGTTATTTCTGCAGACTTTGTAATACTCACGCAAGACACAATGGCACGGGCCTCTGTAGGTGGCTTGTGAGATACGATCATGCACAGAGACAACACATTGTTCACTGAAATATGCTTGACAACGCCAGGGCATGTAGACAAAATATTCTGTGGAGGAGTAAGAAGTCAACGAGTGTTAACGGAAGAATGTTACTGGCTAAATAGGCTGCAAGGTAACAGCAGTAAACACCACTGTATTGCCAAACATTGCATTGTTGTGAAATATTATTATTGCTTCTTACCTCCAAGTTAAAATTATTTTATGCTGCTTTGTTTCCCCCAAGTTGCAACTCTTTCCATAAGAACATTTTTTTCTTATTATTATTTTAACTTTTACAGCATCTCTCAAAAAGCCTCTTCTTCCCCCAGTGTTGCGGTTTATTTCTTTCCAAGAGTTTAAAGAAATGCTTTACCCTAAAATGACCATTTTTACTACCGTGTGTTACGCTGGATTTGTTGAGAAAACTCAGTCTTTCTCGCACGCCTTCACGATGAACAGAGAATCCAAAAAGGCGATGATGAATTTGAGTAAAATGGGACCACGTTCAACAAGAGCATATCGAATCATCCATTTACAAACTCACACAACTCGTGCAGTATAATCCAAATCTCATTTACCCAGTTGTATGTTCGGTACATCCCAAACACATGCATTTTTATTAAAACATTAGGATTTTAAAACATGTCACTACAAACAGTCTCACACAGGGACAAGTAGTGCGCTCTAGGTATGCATATGCTCATACGCAGGTGCATGCCCAGGGCGCTACTTGTAAGTGGAAATGTTTTTAATTGTAATGTTTTAGTGACGATGCATGTGTTTGGGAAGTACTGAGCATACGACTGGATAAATGAGACTTTGATTATACTACAGGAGTTGTGGGAGAGTTTAACAGATGCTAAATGTGGTCCTGAAATGACTTCAGTTCATTAGGAATTTTCGCCTTTTTTTTTTATTCTCCGTTCACCGTGGAGGCATGCAGTGAAAACAAGTTTTTCTTTATGAGTTCAACTTAACACGTGGCAAATAACTGATAAACAAATAGTCATTTTGCAGGTGAAGTATTCTTTAAAGGCCTTTTGATTGTCCCTGCAGTCTCTCTATAAAAGTCATAGAAATGTCTGTACAGGCAAATCTGCTCGGCCAGTCTTCCCTTGAAGGTGTCCATAATGAACTCAAAAAGTACAGTACGCACAGTGGGCACCTAGTTACAAAACACTCCTTCGTTCCCCGACCATCACACATGGTACAGTTGTCTTTGCCCGTAGCATTGCAGCGAGAGCAGCTCTCATTATCCCTGGTGCAGAAGACGTGATTACATTTTTTTTTTAAGTGTGAAAACCTCGCACCAGGGACACAACGGTGAGCAAAAACCTGGCTTTAGTAAGTTCCCTCCAGAGCCACAGAGAGGATTGTACAGGTGTATCCCAAACTGAGCAGTACTCTCTCTGACAATCGGTGTAGTGCTCCTTTAAAGTGTTCATGAAACACAATTCGTCCCTCAGACAAATGGGATTTGTTTCATTTTCATTAAGTTTATTCAGCTAATGCAAGTTTTTACAGTATTATGTACTGAAAACAGATCATTCCATTGCTGTCACAACTCAGAGGGAATTGAGTAAAATTAGATCAACTGCTAAAATGTACATCAATTACTCAATGCATCTGGTTAAAAATAATACACTTAATACAATGTTATAAAAAAATAAAAGCACTTGACAACCCTGTAAACGCAACACACCTTCTCTTTTCAGCCATGGCTTTTTTTTTCTCTTCTCTTTTAAAACAGCCAAAATTATTTTCGCAGATGACACTCGAACAAACAGAACAGGGTTTCACCTCTCCTCTCACTTCACAGTTAGCAGAAACTGAAAGTATGACATTCCCTCGATGTGAGCTGCGATCAAATGCAAAGAATCACGTCTCACCTAAAATAAATATTAGGCTGTCTGTGTTGTTTGCATCACACACACACACGTACACCCTGTAAAATAAATAAAGAGGTCTTGCCAAATTCTGATGTATGTCATGGTTATGTCAATATAACCGCTCCAAGCTGGCACGCTCTGTCTGCAGTTCATCATCTGAGCCTCGACCAGTGCAGCTCTGTGTCATGCTACAGTGCTTCAATCGCTCCAGCTGTCAGAGGACTCTCAGTGCATTTGACAGTCTTCATGTGAGTATTTTGTTGTTTGGCATCCTCGCTCTGTGTGTGTGTGTGTGTGTGTGTGTGTGTGTGTGTGTGAGTTGAGTGAGACATGGCGACCTGACAGCGATGATGGGCAGTCAGCTGCTGCTTAAACCGGTCTCTCCTCGATCCTCTCTCCTTCCTTTCTCCTTGTTTGAGAGAATAAAAAGAGGCGAGACTGTCACCGAAGGGAAATGTCACAAAGACTAGTCCAAAAAAGGGTATTGATCGCTAGATACGATGCAATACCTGCTGGATGTGTGCGTCGGGTCGGGCTGTAGCACAGATTTCACAGCCTGGACGGGACGGCTTGTTGATGAAAGTGCACGAGGGACAAGACCACTCTGTCTGCTGAGAGGAGGTGAGTTGAAACAGATTTAAGGAGGGAATAATTTGGCTAATCATGCTATTTTAAACACTTACAAAAAGTCAGACTTTGGGTGAACATGGGTAACATACCTGTGTTTTACTGGCTTTGTTGGGATGATCATTCAGCTGCAGGTTCTCAATGTCGAGAACATCTTTGATATCACCCGGTCTGTCTGCTCCTCCGCCTGTGCTCCCCGAGGATGACAATAAACAATAAGAAAACAAGTTTATGGAGCTGCACTTTCTCTTGTTTGAATGTAGTATTAATGTGAGTCAAAATATTTGGACAGTGACATTTTTCTGGTGTTTCTGCTGCTCTCCTGCACATCAAACAATGACTACAACGTTGAAGTGTTTATATGAACATCCGATGAACAATGTAGGAAGGAAGGACTGAAGCAAATTGAGGTTTATAGAGTTTCAAACCTTTGTGATAACAAAAAAAAATCATTAATCACTGGGAAAACGGTTAGTGCGGTTAATAACTGACTGAAGTCTCTGGCCCACTGACACCCAGAGACACTTATTACCTCCTCTGCTGATGCTCTGCTGGGCCTCTCTGAGGTCCAGCAGCACAGAGCATCTCAGTGTGTGGCTTTGGCTGTATGTTCATGTTTAGGGTCACTGCCCTATTGCACTGTTTGGGGGACTATGAGTCCTATACTCCAACGTGGATGTGCAGTTCACCCCCAAATCAAAAACACACATTTTTCCTCTTACCTGTAGTGCTATTTATCAATCTAGATAGTTTTGGTGTGAGTTGCTGAGTGTTGGAGATATCAGCTGTAGAGGTGTCTGCCTTCTCTCAGTAACAGTTGAACAAGATGGCACTCAGCGTGTGGTGCTCAAAGTGACAGAAAATACATTTGAAATACTCAACAGCAATGTCTCCAATGACCCAGTTACTCAAGACAATCCACAGACCTTGTAAGCATACAGGAAGAACTGCTCCACTGATGGTGCAATCTTATCTGTGGTTCACGTGGCCCTCACTCACCTGGAGACCAGGGATTCCTACACCAGACTGCTTTTCTTAGACTTCAGTTTTGCTTTCTATACCATCATCAAAAGGGCACAGACTGTGAAAATCCTCACTATTTCCTCCCCTGCAACCATCCTCAACAGACTCAGCATCTTATCATTCTGAGCACGGGCTTCCCCCAAAATGCATCCTGAGTCCCCTGCTGTACACTGTGCTCACTTATGACTGCATAGCCATGTTTCCAAATAGTCACACTGTAAAGTTTGCAGATGACACAGCAGTGGTGGGACTAACCTCCCACAAAGATACGTCCGAGTACAGGCAGGAGGCAGAACATCTGGAGGCTTTATGCAGGGCGAATAACCTCTGCATTAATGTAAAGAAAACAAAGGAGATGATGGTGGATTTCAGGAAGGGCGACTACTCCCTCCCTCCCCTCTACATCGGAGGAGCTGCGATTGAAGTGGTCTCGAGCCCTCAACACCTGAGGGTGCACATCGCTGACGACCTCATCTAGAGAAACAACTCAGCCACCATAATAAAGAAGGCTCATCAGCACCTCTACTTCTTGAGGAGAGTGAAGCTCACAGGCCTGGGCACCTGCTTGCTCACATCCTTTTACAGATGTGCAGTGGAGAGCATCCTTACTTCCTGGATCACAGTGTGGAATGGTAACTGCTCTGCTGGAGACAAGAGGGCACTGCAGCCTACCCACCATCAGCAACATGTACACCAGCAGGTGCAGGAAAAAGGCTTCCTGAATCCTTAAGGACCCCACTCATCCTCCATATTGACTATTTGCCCCCTCCCCTCAGGCAGGAGGCTGCGCAGCGTCATGGCCAGAAGAACTCGATTAAAAAAACAGCTTCACACAGCAGAAATGAGCACCACAAGACGAGCGACATCTGGTTCGATTATATTTGAGAGAAGGCAGACATCTCTACTGTCGATATCTCCAATACTTGGCAACTCACACCAAAACAATCTGCAGGTAGGAGGAAAAGGCTGTATTTCTGATTCTGCTGTGAACTGTCGCTTTAAAGCTGAAAGGCAGCACTTAAACCTCATTTTTATAGCTTTAGTTTTAAATCCAAAATGGAGTTAAATGAATGAAAACCATTCCACTACTGAAACACTTTCAGCCTAAACTGTGACAGGGGGTTTCATTGGTCGAACTCACCCTGGTTGTTGTGGGGTAGCCTCGAGGGCAGGGTGCTGTAACCCCTCCAGTCTTGGGAGGTGGGGCCGTTGCCAGGTGGGAGAGGTGGGGCGAGGAGAGCGCTCTCCAGGTCCTGCTGGAACAGCTGGCGGGTGATGCGAGCTTGTCGGGCGGAGATCAAGTAGAGGTACGCGGTATCCCCGTCCTTCTGCACCCCGTAGGAGGCCAGCGACCTCGGCTCGGTGCACAAGCACTGACCAATCACCCAGCGCTGCACGCGAGGATGGAAACCGTACTCGAGAAACACCTGAAGAGCAGCAGAAGTTAGTAAATAAAAAAGTGCTACGCCTATTACATTATAAGTCAACTGACAGTTTTCTAACCTGTTGCTTGAGTGCAGCCACGGTCATGTACGGAAAGACTTTGACTGTGACACAACAGGATGATGAAACATCCTCCACTACCACAGATAAACTGCAACACAGATATACGGCAACATAAGTCACAAAAACACATAACCTGGAAGCAAATGAAAAAATAGAAAAACTTAAGTCTGGCAGTTTTCATTTCTCACCTGATCTCTCCCTCTGCGTAGTTCTTTTCAGACAGCTGAATCGTCAGCACTGCTTTCTGCCGAGCCAGAGCGGACGCGTGCTGTGAAGCGGCTTGAGTGTCGCCTGCTTCAATCGCCCTGGCGAGCTCCAAACACAGCTCCTCTATAAAAGAAAAAACAAACAAAAGATGCAGCGATCAAAAGTGACATTTTTAGAGCATGTTCTGAACAAAGAAAAAAAAAACAAAACATGAGACGGTAAACAGAGATACCCACCAGTGAGCGGCAGCGAGGCTGAGCTCCACTGCTCCATGGCTGCTGCTGTGTCATTGTGTCTGCCGTCTGATTCACATGTGTTAATGTTTGCAACTGTCAGAGGAGAAACGAGAAACTGTGTTACAGAAGTGCTTCAAACGTTCGTAGTCAACACGCACCAACACCAACACCAACTGATATCAGTGTTTATTTTAACTGCACTTGGCTGATAGAGGCCCAACGTATGCTTTAGCAACACCCTTTAATAACAGGTCACAGACACACTCCAGCATTTCCTCATATGTATTCAATTTACACACATGACACCTTATCGAATAATCCCTAATATATAATGTTTATATTTACTGTTGCAACAACAATCTACCTTGAAAGATTCTTGTCGTGATTGAGCCTGGTCCAATGAGACGTTACTTCCTGCTAGCAGCACTGTTTTTCTCTCAGCTCTTGGTTTTCCCTTCATAGTTTACGCCTGTAAATCAACCCCGGAGCACCCACAGTGCGTGTCATTTTACTTTCTATCTGTGCATTTCTAAAGAGCTTTTGATGCAGTGCATCTGCTATTTTTATTTTAAGTCTGAGGACACCAAACTGCCAAGTCTTTTTAAACGTCTCACAAATTTCTAGCAGCCCTGAGACTTTGTAGTATTTCTTTATATGGTCATTCGTCCCAGGCATGCAACAAGTGTTTACATTAACTACATTGCTACATGTAGCTACATGCTAGCGTCAGGTGTGTCTGTATTCTTGGTTGCAGATGTTGTTAATTTCACCCCGATTTTGGATCTGATTCCTGCTGGATCATGTCCTGATGTGAAGACCTTTCTTTAGAAGCTTTTATTGGTGATTTTTGACAATAGAAAGTGCCGCTATACTCTGTTACAGTCATTCCCAAGGCTCCAGTGATGGTGCAGAAACACCCGTGCAGATGCGGAAGACCCAGAAACGCTGACCAATAAGAGAGGACTGGGCTTGTTTTGGAGGAGGGACTTAAAGAGACAGTCGCTGAGATGGAGCGTCTCAGACAGCGGGTGAATACAGGTGTTCCAGTACAGACAGTATGAGGACAACATTAAAGAATATTCTAGTAGAAACCCAAAATATAAGGATGAACCTGAAAATGAGCACAACAGGTCACCTTTAAGTGCAGTTTTTTCTCTAAAATGCTGTTTATTATTAATACATCTAATCCATTAACAGATCTTTTCTCTGTTTTTTGAACAATTTTTATATTTGTGTTTGACAGTGACAGAAACTATTTATTTTAATAATGTTTAAACGTCATTACTGTCCCATCCTTTTGAAAAGAAAACACAGTTGGTTGCAGACACAGCAGGTTGAGGACTAAACAAATAGTTGTTAAACTGACCTCTATGTGCCTCTCTTAGCGATGACATCACCACCGTGGCCCACTCCTCGGCTTCGCGGTCGCAGCGGAAGTTGAAGCGGATGCAGTCGTGGGGCGGAGCAGCGAGACGCATCTCGTGGCAGCGGGGAGATTTGACCTCGTACTGCACCAAGCGCAGGTCAAACTCTGCAATGAACTGTGGGTGAAAAACAAAAATAAGTAAATCTCAAATGGCAGTGTATAGCTAAAGAACTTAAATAATGTTTACAAAATGAGAAAGAACATGTTGTATCAATTAATCAAAGCTTCACTGTTTGACTTCTAGTCCTGTGGACATCGTAGAAAGATTTTGAGTGACAGCTATTTTCAAAACTGATTAGTTAACCAATTATTTTACTGGATTAAATATATTTAGTCTATGACAAATGTCTCAGAGCCCAAGGTGACGTTTTCAAATTTATTGTTGATTATCAAAATCCAAAATATATTCAATTTACTAGCAAGTCTTTACATTTTGAAAACTGGAACTAGCGAATATTTGGTGTTTTTTTTTTACTTTGGCTTAAACTATATTCATCAACAATCAAAACAGTTGCAGATTAAGTTTCCTGTTCATGGACTAATCCATTAATCAGCTTGTTCGTTTTAGCTCTACAGCATTAAAGCAGCCTCAGGCATTTGCAAGTAAACACTGCTGACGACCTGACGGCCTGTCTTCAATTATCCACCATTAAATTTGTCCTGAACGTGGGAAAAAATAAAGTATAAAATGTGGGCTAAAACTGCAGTAAACATCGCATGAGTATTAGCACAAGAGAAAGGAAATAATCCCCTGAAATATGGCAGAAAGCGAATGAGATTACACATAATCTGCCCTCTAACATTCACTGCAGCATCGTTAGGGCACTGAAGTCTGTTGTGGGCGGACAAAAGCAGCAGAGAGGGATTTTCCACCTGCCAGAGAGTGTATTCATACCGATATGACTGTGTACGAGCAGTCTGCCAGCTCAGACAGACAAACTAAAAGAAGCTGGGATCAAAGGAAAAGTATGCAAATCAAGAGGCAACTCAATTGTCAGGGGGGAAATCTGTCTGACTTGAGATTCCACCGAGATGAAACGCCGAAACCGAGCCTGTCAGATTTTTAGGATAACAGCGCACAGTGAACTCGACCAAACAAAAGGCAGATTCAAGAGTAAAGTTTGGATGAGCGGGGAGACAAGCAGAGTTCAAAGTGAGGTCAGCTCCACTCATGATCAAGCATGTGTGTGTCTACAGTTGGGACTGATGCATCCACTGACAGTAACCACCTCTAATCATGAAAGAGAAGAAGAACTTGTCCTTGTACTGACGCGTGTCTCAGCAGTGCAGCACTGTAGTTTGTTACCTTAATATACATAACCTGCAGAATCAAATTCGCAAAAGAAAACTAGAGTTGACATTAAAGTTATTGTTTGTACTTCAATGAAAATAAAAACCTCCTCCTCCTCTTCCTACTGCCTCTAATGGCATTTGCTAAAATCCACCCCGGTCAAACTATCAAACTAGGTGCTGATCAAATATGAATCAAGATTCTGTTACTGCATTGTATATTTCTCGCCTCAGATGTTTTCAGAAGCATATTTCAGTGTACTGTTTAGCTGTAAAATGGCAAAGACCCAGCCGCCATGTTGGATACAGTCGACTGAAGTACCAGCACTGCCCATCAGCTGGACCAACTTTCTCATTTTATAGCTAAACATCTGCTGATCTGATTGGTTGTTTTCCTTCACATGCAGTAAGGCTATTAAACATGCAACAAGGAGTAAAGCAGGCAGAGTGATATGATTTTTCTCACAGATTATCTGTCTCATTTGGTGCTGTGTAATTACAGTGACAGTTTCAGCAAATACAATAAAGAAATTTTTCACAAAAGTTACCAACTACAGCTTTAACAATGTAAAGACCGAATAAACTGCCCGCTGTAATTCCTCAAAGCCCAGGATGATGTATTAAAATGACTTGTTTTATTCGACCAACAGGTATGACGAGGAATAACAGTGAATCTGCATATGTGAGAAGCTTTTATCAGCTAATGTTTGAATGGTTTGAAGCTTCATTCATAACACTGACGATCAAATTCGTATTCAATTTGTTTGTAATCAGTTTGTTTTTGCATAGCTCTTAATTCTGTTAAATACCAGCATTTCTGCACAGCTGCAGATTAAGATAAGGCTACACTCATATTAGTAGTAATATACTATCTATAGAATTAGATTCCAGTGTGGCTGCACGTGTTTCTGACTTGTATGATGCAAACATTTCCAGTAACTCCAGAGCAATGTAAAGTCCAAAAGTCAAAACTTATTGACAGAAGATAGATATAGAGATATAATCATTTCCAAAATTCACAACATGCTTTTATCTTTTGACATGTTCTGCTTCAGCTCATATCTGTTGGTGTTTAGCCCTTCACAAACAACATTTTCTCTGCAGTCACAAAACTGTTTGCTCTCCACTTTGTTGCACACAAAGGGAGAAATGCAACTAACAGTAGAGTTTAGCAGCAATCTAACAACTGCAAGTTACATTTATTCATTAAAGGAATTTGATTTAATAATAATAATAATAATAATAATAATAATGATAATAATAATAAAACAGACTAACTCATTTAATCAGATGAATCGCTTTCTTTAAATTTGTTCAAGCATTTTTGATTTTTTTTCCGGGATGATGATGTCGACAGATGTTTGAAGCTTTGTTCAAAAACCTCAGTAAAAGCTCTGATAGTAAAAAAATGTCGGCCGGAACAGCTCTTGAAATGTCTGCTTAAAAAAATGACTAAAGCCGAATGTCAAAATAGTTGCTGATTAATTTTTTGCCAGTTGACTAATACACTAAACACTTCAGCTGAACAACTGAGAGTAAATTTGCCTCATAAAGATGTTGTTCAACAAGCACAGTATGTGCTCACAAATAATTTATTGTAAGAAACTGCAGTATGGTTGTAAAAGCTAAAAATCAGACAATAAAATCTGCGTGCACACTATGATGTCATATCCAGGAGAACATCTTAACTTTTTGAAAACCACTGAAAATATGACAATTTTAATAATCAACTGATCTTTAGGTTGTTCAAAGGAGCACTCCGTCAGTTTTACAGATGAGGATTAGTTTACTTGTCAAAGCTACGACTCAACCTGTGACAACAGTTGTATAATCTCTTCTCTCTTTGGAGAAGATTTGTAAAGTCTCAGAAAATGACCCTGATGATGTCTTAGACTAAGTTTGAGGCTTGAACATTTCAAAAGGATGTCTGCTAATAAACTTGGAGTGTAGAGTTTGAAAGACGTGGGCAGAGAGGGTCATTATGGGTACTGTAGGACCTAGCCTAGTGCTTACTACGACTAAATGTTAGGATTACTTTGGCTGCCCTAATTGTGAATTTCTTTTTAAAAATCTGCCTTTTGTTTTGTCACTGGATTGCCCCTTTAACAAGTAAGTCACAGGTGGCTCTCCAAGGCTGGTGTTCATTACATACCACACAACAAAGCTGTTGGATGCCTAAAAAAATGGGGAGAAACACTGCTATTCTCAGATCTTTACCACTCACTTAAAATGTAAAGTTGGGCCAAAGGGGGCTACAGAGGAATAATGCAGTTTGCTACATCAAGAGATTTTATCCTCATATTAGGACATGTCAAACTGAGCTTGTCAGGCTCAGCTCGATGCTGACAGACTTTTCGGCCTTAGGTTAAGCAGAGTTCTAACATCAGTATTGCTTATCAAGCTTGGCGTCGACTGATACAAAATGAGACGGCTATTTCAGACCACAGTAAAGAAGTTTATCCTACTGAGACTGCAAAATGAATGCGTTTAATACAAACTCTTTACTGTTGTTGCTTCAAACAAACGTCTCATAGACACTCTCTCTTCACCACTGCAAATGTGATTATCAGGATCTATCATTAGTTTTTCAGCTTTCACAGCCTCATTATTATCTGGTAAAGAGAATATGACGACAGTTTATGGCACCAAAATATCCCTCTTCTTCACACTTGACCTGAATGCTTTAATTATCAGGTGAATAATTTGAAGGGATGAATACAGACTTTACAAGACACAGAGTCAAGTGTCATGGTTCGTGTGTTATAAGCGTGTCATGCAATTTCTGACAAATACAAGGCTGAAACCTGGCAGAAAATTCCCACCTGTCTTCAATAAGACCACGAGAGTCTGTTCACCACTGTGTTGGCTGAAGGATTTCCCCTGGTGATGTTATTATTCTACTCAAACTGAGTGTGTAGTGGTTAAGGGAAGACCTAAAATGAAAGTGAAACTAGAAATCCCTCTCAACTACAAAGTTGGTGATTAAAACAATTTCTGTATTAAACAGCAGATTATTATAACACTTAGAGTGAAGTCTTGGAGTGTATGTTTTGTATGCGTGTGCAATCGATGGAATCTGGTGTGATTTTATCCCTAAATGTGAATCTGTGGAGCTGCATTGTAGTGTTCCATAAAATGGCGAGTAAAGGCCTGTGCTGGTATAAAATATAAATGTGATTCAGTAAGGTGGTTCATCACAAGCATATCTAAGCAGGTAACACTCAGGTGTATGCGTGAAATCTCACCACGCTGCGGTTTCCGCTCGTATCTCGCAGCGCCAGTCGGAACTCTCCGGCCCGGCTCGGGTCCATGCTGAGCTGCAGCCGCAGAGCCTCGCTGCCTGCTCCGGGGAGGCACAGGGGCCGGATCCCGGAATGGCACACCGAAACCCGGACTGACATTAAAACAGTACTGCAGCAAGGCGTCAGCGCAGGCCCGCCGCATGCTGCCTGTTGGGACGAGGCAGGGACCGGGGCTGGAGGAGCCCAGCCGCCCGAGCTGAGTGCCATGTCGCGGACACCAGAGGCGGAGTGAGGGTGTGTGAAGCCCCGCGGCAGGTGTCGGTGCTGCCCGCTGCTTCTGTCGGGTTTATAAGGTCCACCGGTGTCTGAAGAGAGCGAGTGTCTTCACGGGCAGGCTGTGGTTGTCTCCTCGACCCGCAAATTCTTCCATTATCTACCCGACCCGAGCAGACACGGAACGAAAGAAAAACAAAACAGGAAGTGGAGCGGTACGTCTTTTATTTATGTCCGTAGAGAAACTTGGCCGTGAAACATCCGGCCGAAATATAGCAATTCACAAAAGGACTTAAAAGGCAGAAAATAATAATAACAAAAATAATAATAATAAAAAATAATAATAGTAATAATTTTTCTCTTTTTTTATAGATAAATGGCCAAAATTACATAATTTAAGAAGCGATATTACATAGAAATAAAGGACATTTGACAGAAAACAGTAAAATGATGAGACAGGTGAGATATTAATTAGTAATCCCCTCTCAAAAACATTTTTCTCTTAAAAAAGGTCCTCTTTAGATCCTCCCCTTGCCTTAAATATTTCTATTTTAGTTATTTATTTATTTAACAGTAAAGGGAACAGAAAGAATGGCTGAATTGTTTGCTGCTGCCCCTTACAGTGAGCAAACAGCAATATAAAACACAAATTAAATATAACCTTCTCCTTCTTTTATTTCCTATAAATCGCCTGGCGTTTTTTTTTTTAAAGCAAATTATTTATTTCATTTACCTCACTCCTCTTTATTATCTATCGTAGTAATCCTATGTATGTATGTAAGAATGTATGTATGAATTATTTTTTTATTACTGTCATATCTATCTTATTATTATTTTGTTTGTTCTTTTTGCATGTTTTTGTTATTTGAGATGCTGGGATCGTGGTGTGGGATGGGAGGGACGTACAGCAGTAGTTATTGTAAAGATTGACAATTTCTTTTACTTTTGTTTCTATGAGAATTTGTCCAACTACAATGAGAGGCTATAATTTTGATATAAAATTATAAAATTTAATATATATATATATAAAAAAAATATAAACATCTACGAGTCATTAAAATTATCCTTCGGCAGTAATTAAAATAAAACACTAATGACCAATGACCACCTTCCAATAAACTGTTACTAGAAGCCCACCACCACCCTTAAAACAGATTTGTTGCTTTTACAATGACTTCACAAACAGAATGTCTCCTTACTGGAAAGTATCAATCAATCAATCAATCAATCAACCAATAAAAAAAAACAAAAAAAACAAAAACAAAACAAAACAAAAGTTTAAAATGTATCCCCTCCCAAACTTATGTTTCTCTTAAAAAAGAAACCCTTCTCTGGATCCTCCATATGACCTAGAAATTAATATTGTTAAGGTTGAAAATAAAAGCCTGATACAGAGATAGGCCTGTTTTCTTGGCACACACAAAAGCAACTTTTCACATATACGATTTTTTTTGTTTACTTAAGTCCTCAGTATGCAAGATATATCTTTTGGATGCACTTGGACGCATCGTCAGTGATGTGCCCTGGGGTCAACAGGCGTCTCGGGTCATCAGACACCCTCACCTAAGCAACCCAGCCAGGGTTGCATTTCAGCAGCAACTTCCCACAGTTCAGACCTCTTAATCCGAAGCCACCTGGTAGCTTTCTCTACGGCTTCACTCGTGGATTGGATGTCCTTCTTCTTTGCCTCACCTGTGATGCCCAATCTATTGAAGACTGTGCACAATGAGCATCCTGCAAGGTCACTACTGCTCACCTCAGTGGGTTCATAGTGCGTCTTCCAGGCTCTGTCCTGACACATCTCCTAGTCCTTTGTAATTTGTGTGTTTCTGCTCATTGGCTACCTCAATGCACTCTTCCCAGGGCAGTGTAAGCTCCAGCATCATTAGTTATTTTGTCACCTCAGGTAATCATCATGTCTGGCCGGAGTGATGTTGCTGTGATATGTTTAGGAATTTTCAGCTGAGATGGTGCAGCCTGTTATTATTCCTTTGCCAAACTGATGCCAGTCTGTTTCTGACCCAGACGTGACCCTCAGCCTTAAATTGTTGTAATAATCCAGGATAGGGTCCTTGATCTTGCTTGGAACATGGTGGCAGTGTAGGTGTTGGCCAGGTCCAACCACTATGTTGAAATATAAATCTGGGTCAACAAAATAAAAGGCCCCTCCCTGCAGATCACTCTGAAAAACTTCAATTGCTAATAAACCACACCATATTACTGCTGTGTAGTTCTTTGTCTTATGGTACAGTAACACAAGTAGGCTACTAAAGATATTTAGGCAGAGTATCAACTAAAGGATCCTTAAATGAACCTTATATGAACAGTGTAGGAATTTTAAACAAGGCAGTGATGTAAGCTTTTTGCCTGGTGCCAGTTATGTATGAGCTGTAATTTATTTCCAGACTTTTTGTGAACACCTGAAAGCCGTGCGTTGCAACAGCTGAGCCTGATGTCACAAAGGCACAGCGGGTACTTCTAGTTTCATGCAGTCAGGACTGAAAGTTAATATATAGCACAGAGGAAAATTATTTCTCACTTGGTGTTTTAGGGCCTGCTGATATTGCAGGGTTAGACCTGTCTGTTAATAGGGCACTACTTGCCACATATTTTCCAAATTTACCTTTAACTAGAAAAAATATCTGCATGCACTAACTTAACTTGCAGCAAGAGACACAGTTCAGTTCAACACAGCCGCTGCTTTGATACAGAAGTGACGGGGAATTACAGAAATGTCTTCTGTCCTGCAGGAAATCAGTCCAAGTGTGAAGAACATAAAGCAGCTGGAGTATGGAGCTCTGATCAGACGAGCAAGCCAGCTCAGGAAAGAGCTCAGGCAGGTAAAGGAAAATAATTTATTGACATATTTGCAGTATGGATTCTGGACTCTGTTGCCAAACTGTGTTGCTTTGAATTAATCTGTCCACAGAAAGTGAGAAAGCCATACAAAGAAATGATAGATGTCTCATCGGGCGACCCACACAGGGCAGGTGTGAAGCCTCTGTCATTTGTCAGACAGGTAATCAAATCTTGAGACGACTCATCTGTAAGTAGTATTAAAGGCAAATGTGCAAGTTGTCTTGTTGACGCTTAAAATCTTTCTCTCATGTGTGTCTTCATATTTTACAGGTTCTTGCAGCTTGTCTTTACCCTCAGCTTATAAACAGCAACAAACTGCCAGTGGATGTCAGACAGAGAGCTCAGTGGCTGCTTAAGGGATGTGATGGAGGGAGTGTAGGTAAGGACTGTGGTCAAGAGTCCGCTCACTCAAAATACAAAATATTTTTTACTTTTCCACTCACTTCTACCTGTGTCTTGCCAAGCAGATGGTTTTAATTTTATTTGCCCAGGTTTTGAGATATTTGTCTCCAAGATTTCTGTAACTAGTCCAACAGAATACTGGTGAATTGAATTTTTGTCTGTTATGCTCACAGCAAAAACAAGACTCAGAGTCTTCAGCCAGGTTTAGTGAGATATTTCAATTTATTGAGCACCACAAATAAATCTTAAAAACAACAAATCTTAAAAGCAAATTAAAGCCACAGTTGGTCATTTTTACTTTGTGTCATATTTGCTGAAACAGTCACTATATTCTGACAGAAGTACACGAGAAAGATCATCTGTGAAAAACAGGACACAAACAAAAGTTAAGGCGGCGAAAGTCCGAGGTGGACAGGCGGGAGGGGTGGAGGATGGGTCCAGCAAACGCTGACTTTCCATGCAGAGTGGTGTTTGTGTCCCATAAGATTCTAAAGCCAAATCCTGTTGTTTTCTTCCTAAACCTAATCACGTGTTTTTGTTGCGTAAACCTAACCACATGCATTAGTTGTGATTGGAGGGAAAAAAACACGTCAATTCGCAGTGTTGTACTGACATAGTGCTTTTATTTTGAAAGCAACTGTATGTAAACTGTAAAATTCCCGTGAAAATGGAGGTGTACTTTGAAAGAAGACAATGTATGCAGTTTGTTATGTGTACTGTAAATCGATGAACATTTTTAAAATGTACTTCTTTAAATTAAACAAAAGGGGACAATTCGGAGGTGTTTGTCATTTATAGGATATTATGCAGCGGTTTTACTGGTCTGGCTCACCTGTGATCAAAATGAACTGTATGTGGCCCACGAGCTAAAATGAGTTTGACACCTCAGCTCTAATGCATCTGTCAACAGTGCTGCAGGGATGAAGTTTTTTTTGCCCTGGTTCTCTCAACAAAAAACCACTGGGAAATTTGCCCAACCCAAACAAACCAAGGAGGGAGGATTATGCTGGAATCACACAGCTTTTAAAAAGCCCCAAGCAGGTGAAGCCAATCCCAAAACGAGGTGGGAGGTGCAGGTAATCAAGGAGGCTCTGGAACAGGAAAGCAGAAGCAGGTATTCAGGAAAACACACAGAGCCCAAGGCCTGTGGCCGTCACAGTGGCAAACAAAAGTTTATGATACTTACACATTGTGGTCAGCAAGACAATCATCATACATTTTAAAGGGATAGTGCGCCCAAAAATGAAAATTCTGCCATTATCTACTCACCCATATGCCGAGGGAGGCTCAGGTAAAGTTTTAGAGTCCTCACAACACTTCTGGAGATCCAAGGGGAGAGGTGGTAGCAACACAACTCCACCTAATGGAGGCTGACGGCGCCCCAGATTCAAACGTCCAAAAACACATAATTGAAACCACAAAATATCTCCATACTGCTCGTCCGTAGTGATCCAAGTGTCATTAGCCTCATTGTAGCCTGAAGCTCTAACTGCCTCTCTGTGCACCATGCTCACGTGTGCGAAATGACGTTTTTCCAAACAGCTTTTTATGTCGGGGCTTCAGGACATTTAGCAGTATGGAGATATTTTGTTGTTTCAATTATGTGTTTTTGGACGTTTGAATCTGGGGCGTCGTCAGCCTCCATTAGGTGGAGTTGTGTTGTTACCCCCTCTCCCTCCTCCGCAAGTGTTGTGAGGACTCTAAAACTTCACCTGAGCCTCCCTCGGCATATGGGTGAGTAGATAATGGCTGAATTTTCATTTTTGGGTGCACTATCCCTTTAAGACAAGGAAACCGGTAGTGCAAAAATGCTAATTTCCGCATTGAACGACTCGTTCTGGCAGCACTGTATCATGTCTGTGAGAAAAGTTTATGACCTGTGTTAGAAATAGTCAAATGATGCACCTGGAGCAAACTTTCTCATTTTACAGCTAAACAGTACACTAAATTATGTTTCTGAAAACATTTGAGGCAAGAAATAGGCAATGCAGTAACAGAATCTTGATTCATGTTTGATTGCAAGTTTGACCATAGCTCACAAGCTGTGATTGACTGTTGCATTAGAGCCTCCTCTGATCTACTTGGTTGTTTTCCACTGTGTGTGGTAATGCCATTAGACGAGGTACAATGCAGTCGAGTAGGCAGAAGAACATAATTTCTCATAGATTTACTATCTTATTATGGCTTTGTGGAAAAAGTGATCAACTACAGCTTTAAGGCAGAATTACCTGCATAGTTAAGACACCACTAAAGGTACATAAGTAGGATTTCTATTTTACGATTACGATTCTTTTACACAATATTAAAAAAATTAAAATACAATGATAACAATATTTACACGCTGCTCTACAGTCTCATCTCAGCTCTCCTGTGTTATTCCTTCAGGTGCTTATAGTTCTACAGCGGGCATACCAGACATAGTCCGCAGAGTCTCTGAATTCATAACAAGACGAGATGGTGGGGTCCCATCTCACCCTGAAAACATATACATCAGCACCGGCTCACAGTGGGCACTCACGGTAATAATCACTACAACTAACATACTGTTATATTATATACCGTGTCTCTTCCTCCTTTAGATCATCATCATCTTCCAGTTAACACAATCTGTTCCTTTGCTTATTAGAACATCCTCAACGTCTTGGTAAACCGTGAGGCATCACCCAAAACAGGTGTGCTGATCCCAGCGCCATGCTACTCACTTACTTCTGAGTCCATAATGGAGTGGGGAGGAGTCACTGTCCCCTACTACCTCAGTGAGGAGCAGGGCTGGGAGCTGCAGATGGAGGAGCTGCATCGAGTGCTGGAATCTGCAAAGGGGGTCTGCAACCCTGTAGCTCTGTATGTTGTCAACCCTGGGAATCCAACAGGTAGGAAAGCCTCCCTGAGTATATTTTTGTGTCACAGAATATGTATGACATGGTTGTTTTCATGCCACGTTGCCTGCAGGTCTGGTTCAAAGCAGGGAGTCGATGCAAAGGGTGATCCGATTTGCTTCAGAGAAGAGGCTCTTCCTTCTGGCTGATGAGGTTTGTGTCTTAAGTCACCTGTCCACGAAAACTCATGAACATGTGTAAATGAACGCTTGGATTTTCTGTGTGTTCTCCTCCACAGGTCTATCAGGACTTTGTTTATGGGGAGAAAAGCAAGTTTTTCTCCTACAAGAGGGTTCTGGCTGAGATGGGTCCTCCTCTGTCAGACACAGTGGAGCTCGCATCCTTCGCCTCAGTATCCAAAAGCTTGAGCGGAGAGTGAGTTTTCAGTTATGATGTGTGTTTGAAGTCACAGAAATACAACTTAAAGGGAGAGCTCATCCCAAAATCAAAAACAGATTTTTTTTCCTCTTACCTGTTGTGCTAGTTATCAATCTAGATTGTGTGTGTGTGTGAGCTGCTTAGTGTTGGAGATATCAGCTGTAGGGATGTCTGCCTTCGCTGCATTATAATGGAACCAGGTGGCGCTTGGCTGTTTGGTCCCCAAAAATACATTTGAAAACTCAGCAGCAGTGTCTCTTTCTAGAGATCATGACCTGGTTACTCAAGATAATCCACAGACATTGTTGTGAGCAGTTTTATGTAGGAACTATTTTTTCTCTGCTGAACTACACCCACCAACTGTATCACTGCGCACCTACTGCACACTCTCCAAGCACCTCTGAGCTATGTTACAGCTCAGCCAAGAGGACACCATTAATGTCTTCATGTCACACTTTCACGACTCTCTTGTCCATGAGTAGATGCTTCCTTCTGCCCAGTGATACAGTTGGCGAGTGTAGTTCAGTAGAAACTGCTCACAACAAGGCTTGTGGATTATCTTGAGTAACGGGTCATGATTTCCGGAAAGAGACATTGCTGCTGAGTTTTCAAATGCATCTTTTTGGCGCTTTAAGCACCACAAGCCGAGTGCCATCTAGTTCCATTATATTCTGGAGAAGGAAGACATATCTTGGCCGATATCTCCAACACTCTGCAACTCACACCAAAACAATCTAGACTGATAAATAGCACTACAGGTAAGAGGAAAAATATGGGTTTTTCATTTTGTGATGAACCGTCCCTTTAAAACAAGGGCTAAGTTGTAATTCAGACAGCAGCTGACACAACAATGTCACCGCAAGATTGACAAGACATGTCCTAAAAGTGCTACGAAAAATTTAAATGTAAATATGTAGAAGAGCCAGGTGAACTGTGTGCTATAGAAGATTGTGTGATTTGACCAAAGAGCTTTCGAACAGCTACTAACTAGACTTCTCTCTCCTAACAGGTGTGGTCTGCGTGGTGGATACGTGGAGCTGGTAAATCTGGACCCCACCGTTCTGAAATGCATCAGCAACCTGTTCTCAATGGACAGCTGTGCACCCGTGCTGGGTCAGTTTGCCCTGGATCTGATGACAAACCCTCCACAACCAGGAGATCCCTCATACCCACTTTATTGTGTGGTGAGACCAGAAATGTTTAGTTCAGATCACCTTGCGGGATGTCTAATAGCTTGCTCTGTACTGAGATTCTAGACTCCATTGCGCCCCTGACTCTAAAGCGCATAAAGCCACAGTCTGAGCCTTGGCTGAATGAGTCCACTCGCGCGCTCAGATGCGCATGTAGGCTGGCGGAGAGAAAGTGGAAAAAGGACAAACTCCAGATTTCTCGGGATCTCCTACGTGATTCTCTTCTGACATATCAGCAGGCTGTTAAAGCTGCTAAAACGGAATACTTTTCCTCACTTGTTTCCACAAATGCTCACAAGTCTCAGGTTCTTTTCAATGTATTTGACTCACTGGTGAATCCTTGTGATGCTGTCTGTATTAAGCCGTCTTCTTCTCTGTGCGAGGATTTTTTTCAGTTTTTTATTAATAAGATTTCTGCTCTTAGATCCCCGCTCCTTCAGTCTGCTCAGGACCCCTCAGTTCCAACAGCAAGCTCAGCTGTTTTTCACCAGTTTGAGCCTGTTTCACTCTTCACTTACGCCCTGCAACTGCAGCATTCCATCCCGTTTGTTTAAGGAGGTTTTCAGTTCAGTTGAGTCTTTTATTTTAAAACTTATAAATATGTGTCTCAGCTCTGGATGTGTTCCATCCTCCTTTAAACATGCCACGGTGCAGCCTCTTTTGAAAAAGAAAAATTTGGATCCCTTGGTATTGGCTAATTTCAGGCCAATTTCCAAACTTCCTTTTATTTCCAAGGTTTTAGAGAAAGTCGTTTTTAACCAACTCCAAGATTTTTTAAAAGGGGCCAACGTTTGTGAACGGTTTCAGTCTGGTTTTAAGCCTCTTCACAGCACTGAAACTGCTCTTTTAAAAGTTTTTAATGATCTTTTGTTAAACCTTGATTCTGGTAACTGTGCCATTTTAATTCTTCTTGACCTAACAGTGGCGTTTGACATAGTGGATCACACAATTCTCCTGTCACTCTTAGATCATTGTGTAGGTATAAAAGGCACTGTTTTAAGTTGGTTTAAATCGTACCTCTCGGACAGATCCTTTTCTGTTCATATGGGGCAGTTTTCCTCCTCAGTGGCCCCTCTGACCTGCGGGGTCCCCCAGGGGTCAGTTCTGGGCCCCCTATTGTTCTCCCTTTATATGCTACCCCTGGGGTTGATATTTAGGAAGCATGGTATTCCCTTTCACTGCTTTGCTGATGACGTGCAAGTGTTTTTGCCATTAAAAATTCCCTCCAAAGATTCCCTTCAGGCCGTGCTAAACTGCATAAGTGACATTAAAACATGGATGGACTTAACCGTCTTACAATTAAATGAAAACAAAACAGGCTGTCCTGTTCGGTCGCCCTGATTTGGTTCAGGTCCTTGCCACCTCCTTGGGCCCACTAGCACCTTACATGAGATCCCACGCTAGGAATCTTGGTGTGATTGTTGATGGTGTTTTTAAGCTAGACAAACAGGTCAGCTCAGTGGTCAAGTCTAGCTTTTTTCAGCTGAGGCTTTTAGCCAAAGTTAAACCCTATCTAAGCCAGAAAGACCTCGAAAAAATTATCCATGCTTTTATTACCTCTCGTTTAGATTACTGCAACTCCCTGTACGTCGGCTCTTTAGAGTGAACGAGCCCCCCTCGGTTAGAAATGAAAGGTAGGAAGCTAACCCACTATCAGCACTTGCTTGTATTAAGAGCCCCCCCCCCCCAAAAAAAAAAAACAAACTAACTAACGAACTGCATCTTTGAACCGGCTCTTCAAAGTGAACGAGAGCCAAAAACCGGCTCTCACAAGTGAACGAGGAATCCCATCACTATTTCTGACCTTGTTGTGTTGCATCGGCACTCAGAGCCCTCAGATCAGTGAATCAGATGGTCTTGGATGTTCCTCGATCACTATTAAAAACTAGAGGAAATTGATCCTTTGCAGTCGCGGCTCCCACTTTGTGGAACGCATTACCGTTGACTGTGCGGACTGCGAATAGCCTCTCCACTTTTAAATCACTGCTCAAGACTCACTTGTTCACCTTGGCCTTTGGTTGAGTACAGTCACTTCTATTTGGTCTTTTACCTTTGTTATATTTCACTGTATAAATGTTTTCTGTGTGTTGTTGTTTTTGCTTATTTAACTGTAAAGCACTTTGGTTGGCCTTTGGCTGTTTTAAAGGTGCTATATAAATAAAGCTGACATTGACAAAGCTGACATTGCTTTGCTTAAGCTAGTAAAAAGTGGCATTACTCTAGCCTCCAGTTTGATATACATGCTTTTAATCTTGCCTTTAACTTCTACAGGAGACTCAGAACATCAGGAGGATGATAGCTCATAATGTGAAGAGAGTCTTTGAGGTGCTGAACAGTCTGCCGGGTTTCTGCTGCCAGCCCGTGGAAGGAGGAGCATTTGCATTCCCCAGAGTGCATCTTCCACCTAAAGCCATTCAGAAAGCCAAGGTTACCACTGAGCAATATCGTTGTTTTAAATCGTAACATAGCTGATGTATCCGTCAGAAAATAATTTGAACCTGATTATGTTTTTGGTCTTTTTCAGGAAATGGGAATGCCACCTGATCTGTTCTACAGTTGCAGACTACTGGAGGGGGCTGGGGTGGTTGTCGGACCTGGTTGTGAGTACTCACAAAAGGAGGGCACCCATCACATCAGGTATGATACATCTTATAAACCAGATGTCAATACTCTGACTACAGCCTTTACTACACAAAAAGCATGCTCTATAGTTAAAATAAGCACAGTTTAGTTTAATAAGGATAAGTTGAAAGTTTTACCTTTAACTCTAATTTCTTTTTGCAGAATTTGCATTTTGGCTGCTGAGGACACTATGGAAGAATTACTAAGACGCCTGACCAGCTTTCACCCACAATTTATGAAGCATTTCTCTTAAACAGAAGGCAATCACTTTCATCCATCTGCACATCAATAATTCAGTCAAACAATAAAAAGGATCCGATCATTTCCTTGTGAATATTTATTGCAATAAGCGTGACATTTACTGCATGCAGTCTGTTTTAATGACAACTGGCAAATGATTCTCTTCTGGATAAAATTCAACTTCTGCTTTTGAGAAAGCAAGTAACCATAAATAATAAGCCACAGTCCAAAATCCAAACCAATGGATTTCCTTGAGCCACATGGCGGTTCATCATTCACCACAACAATAACAATGGCGGATCAGTCCACTGTGGATTTCTGCTCTTTAAGAGCCCTGATTAGTTCAGCACATTAAGTACTAAAAGATATACAAATGAGATACCATCATCTTCTTCGGTTCCTCTGTACCAGCCAGCAGATCCAACACACACACACATGCTGAGAGTGCTCTGTGTCTTTAATCCACCTCGCTGTCACTGTTGTTGCTCTGAGCAAAAGGGTTTGAGTTTGTATTGTTGAGCAGCTCCACGAGTAAAGAGATGAGCTCTCCGTCTTGAGCAGAGTTGGCCACCGCGTTGCTGGGATTGCTGAGGTTGCGGTACAGCATGGTCTGAATGGAAGTGCGTAGCTCCCACAGCAGCTCCCAGGTCTCAAGTGGCAACTCACAGCGTACCAGAGAGCCTCCAGGAAATGATACTTCCACTCTGTCGCCTTTCACTGGGACGTAGGAGAAAGGACAGAGCGTTATTTATGAAGAGAAGAGAGTTCACTGCAAAAATCTAAGAGGGAGGTAATATTTAAGTGCTTCTGAGGATTGTAGTTACTGTTTTGAGCAAAAATGTTTTAATGCACAGTCCTGAAATAAATTAAAGTGCTAACAGAAACTTTTCACCTCCCCCTCCCTGTAGTGTTTCCATGTAATATTATTGTTGGCACAGCTGTCACACAGACAACTAGATTGTTTTCCTTGGAGCCTAGCAACAGGGCTCTTTTTTCTTCTACCAGGTAGAGTTTCAAAGGTTATCAAGTTGTGTCACCACTTGTCATTTCTGCTACTAGGGATAGTAACAGTAAAAAACTTAATCTGATATTCTTTGGTAACTGGAGACAGCTAACAGCGAAAAACAAGGCACTGTCCTCTTCCTGGTTTGGTTGCACCTGGTAGCAGACAGAATTGCATAGTAACAAGCAGGGCTTACAGGGAACCAATCTTAACACTGATAATATCATCATTTGACAGCAATTACATTGTGCAATAAACATTTTCTTCATAATGATGAACTTGCCTATTTCCACTTTACATTATGTGCTATTAAAAAGGTGGGAAATATGTTTATAAGCACCCCATAAAGGAACTACAAGAGCATTAGCTGGCATTTACACTAACGCAGAACTGCATCAAACAAGTTTTAATATCAGCATAGAGAGCTGAGTAGCCTAAAATCATTTCCCATATCTTTAATACAGGAGTAAAAATGGAGATGTCATCTTCATGTGAGCCACAAAAATGTGAAAGATAAAGAAGGGGAAAAAGTGTTGATGACTGATGCAGCTTTACTGTACAACTCTTAATATTTCTTTAGTGGATATAAAAACATTGAAATAAAAAATGGATTTTCCCAGTTTCAATCCTGTGTCCCTGTGTTAATTCATCATGTATCTCTTGTTATATGCCAGAGTATTAGTACATGAAGAACTGTCTTTTCACTTTTTAAACCGGGTAAAATGGTTTTAAATGTTTGATATCACTCATTCTGAAAAAAGTTCTGAAAAAATGCAAAAGTTTATCCAATCAAATGAGACTTTGGGCAACCAGCTATCCACACTGGCCATACAACTGCACTTCACCATGTTGGGGATGTAGTAGCTTACAGAGAAATATGGAGAAAGATAGGAAGAGATGACTGGACATCAGAGGACAAAACCTTTTTTCATTTCCAAAACAATGTGACTGTTGTCTCATCCATTCATGTCTACCTCCTCCTGATCAAGATAACTGTCCACAGCTCATATATTCTGTTTCACTGGGAAATATGTCTAAGTACAGAAGCTAAAGACGCTTGTACTTCCACTTCACAGGGACATTAAGGGCTCATAAAACCACATCTTTTTGTCGGCTGAAAATGATCCTGACAGGATGGATACGTCAGTAACAGCTTTTTACCCCACGTCTTGGGGGCATCGGAAACATCAACATATCATCGCCTTTAAAAGCTGATTTGGCGAACACTTGTTTATTTGTACAGTTACAGAGCAACGTTAGCATTCAGTTGGATTGTTGTTCTGGCAAACTGAGAAATATTTACTCCCTTAAACTGTTTTTAGCCTCAACTGATGTCTAAGAGAAATATCTGGCTCTTTGGCTGCTAAATGCTCCACTATGTTCACCAGCTAGTGGCTAACTGCAGATTTGGGTGTAGCTTCATCACTAAGTGCAACACCTTTCATACTGTCACATGGTCATTTGATATTTTGTTAGATACATTTTGATTGTAGAACAATGCTTACCAAACAGCAAACAGCTAACATGATGAGGGTTCCCAGCACATTCAAACACCAGTGCCTTTGTCAATGAACTACTTTTAATGGAGAGCAGTACATGTCCTACCTGTCTCTGTGATGTCACAGTCTGTCAGCAGCAGCAGGGCGAGAGGATGGACTGTAGAAGAGTCTCTGACGAAAACGTTCCCGTTGGACTGCACAGCGCTGAAGAAGGTCAACCAGCGACTCGGGGGTTCTTTTCCTCTACAACACAAAGGAAGACAATGAGTTTACATATGCACCATGACAGTAAAAACATGCTCTAGTTGATTTCAAGTCGTGTTCACACCTGTTCACTGACGACCGGTGAAGCAGTACTGGCCCACTGACTGTGCGGAAAACCATATGGTTGGGGCGAAAGCGCCCTCCTTTGGTCACAACACCTTTCTTTGCCTAAGAAAAAAAAAGTAATTGTTTTTATCAACGTGATGCTGGAACGATTAATGTTGGCTTTGACCCTGGGAGGTGCGAGTCAGTTTAAGCAGGACAACCCTAACAAAAAGTAAATTTGACTTTATTAAATTAAAAATATGTTTGCCTATTTTTATGGTGATGTTGTTTCTAAGTGGCAATCAACAACATACCTCCAATATTATTGTAAGAACTCATATATACATCTCACAGTTCTGGCTTTAACCTTTGATAGACAACAGTGGGAAATAGACTTTATTAGGTAGACTTAAAGAGTAGACTTCTTTGCTGCCATGTACCTGAATGAGGTTGGGATAGAGTCCAGCCAGCAGTACAGCTTTAAGCAGCTCGTCCTGGTTGCTGTGCTCGTTGTAGAGAGAAGTCTGACGCTGGCATTCATTTACACGAGGCACCAGCTCGGCGTCATACAGGTTCTCGCTGAACTGAGAGATGAGACCTGCAGCGAGACGGCACAAGGACACAAATTGTTTTGTGAAAAGCACAAAAGTAATCCCTCTAAATCATCACTTATGACCCACTAGCAGTGTGTGGCAGTGTTCTTTTCTGCTAAGACTCTGCCCTCTGCCTGTATGTTCTTATTTTGCTGTTGGGACGTTCCTGAGCACAGTGTGAAGGTGAGGTCGGGACTTTATAATAAGGTAGTGACCAGGTGCCGGACTGTTTGCAGCACGCATCTAAGAAGTAGCTGGTAAAATTGTGGACAAGGCGTAGAAAAAAAAGCGGACATAGTGAGACAAAATGTCAAACTGAGTATGTCTGGGGTTGGTGTTCACTTTCATGTTTGCTGGCGCTACTCTTTAAAACCCCAACAATCCACTGAGACAGTGTCTAGATGAGTGTGTGCACTTCAAACTAACCGTTGATAAATCGAAGGCTGAACTTGGACAGCATGTATTTGCTCAGATAATCGACCTTGTCCTCTCTGTCCCCCTCAAACTGAGCTTTCCTCCAGCCCAGCACGGCTCTTATGAACACCAAATAGTCACTGTAGCTGGAGTCGCTCAGAGCCTCTTTTGCCTGCACAAACAGGACACAGATAATCGAATGGTTAATAATTACTACATGATGTACACTTAACACATGAATCAACAGGAGTGTGTTAAAACATCTCACCTTGACAACAGCTGCTCTGTTCTGCAGGCTGTTGTGAAAAGGGTCTCTGGTCAGACAGGCAGCTACAGACAGCATGGGCAGAACACATCTGAACATGGCGCTCAGGACCAGCACTTTGCCCAGACGAGGGTCACATGACATGCAGGCGACACGCTCTCCTAAAGGCGTCAGGGCTTCGGTCTTGTCCAGAACTCCTACAAAAGGCAGTTGACAGTTCAGACATTCATTAAATCGCACATTTGAACATGTTAAGTTAGACAAACAAGATGGCAAAAATCTCACCATAAAATCCAAAACATCACTCACCAATGTCTTGAAGATTTTGAACAGCATCTCTCACAGCTGCTTGCTCTGGACTGTCCAACACTAGGGACAAGAAATCTACAGCCTCCACATACACAAAAATGACGTCATTCAATAAGTCAAAAACACACAAAAAAATCAGGTAAAAAAATTAATACACCAAAGACAGAAAGTTTCTAATTAAAATGATTTCACAGATCTTTGTTTTCTCATCACACTTGTGGAAATGGATTTCCATGCTATGCTCTTTCAATACCTTGCTGTCAGGGGTGTGGATTTTGGCCTGCATGACTAAACTCTGCAGTGGTGTGCGCAGGATCTCAGGGATCGGGAAGGGAGTCATGGATTCCAGCTGCTTTCGTGGGAACAGGTGGTAGGACTGTCCTGGCTGACATCGCCCTGCTCTCCCTTTTCTTTGAGTGACATTAGAACGAGATATCCAAACTGTGTCCAGACAGGAGACCTGAAAAAAATAAAATCAAAGTGATTATTCTTAGAGAATACAACAGGCTTAGTTTTTGGTTTATAATAAAACAGATACTTTGATACTGACCTTAGTGCGTGGGTCATAATTCTGTTCTTTGTGAGTTCCCGTATCCACAACATGGACAATGTCGTCTATGGTGATTGAGGTCTCAGCGATGTTAGTGGCGAGGACAATCTTCCTCTGGCCC